TAGGAGAGATTGAGGGAAGTGGCTGTTTGCCCAGTGACCAGGCCCCTACCTGTAGGCATCAGAGAGGGTCACAAAGCCAAATTCAGCGGTGCTGAAGATGATGAGATCTTCGGCCAGCTTGCTAAGGTGGATCATCAGCAGGGTGGCAACAGAGAGTAATTCCACTGCAGAAAAGGCAGAAAAGCAGGAGGTGAAAAGGGCATTTGTTTGTGTTTGACAAACCAGGGAGCCCTGACTGGAGCTTAGACATGTGCAAAGATTTCCTGTTTGGTTACTTCCCAGTGTGGGATTTCAGCTCCCTTGTTAAATGATGTTAACTGGGAAGGTGCCCGGTGTCTGCTTCTAACATGGGGGAGGGAGGAATAGTGTAGTTGTACTTACCCACAAAGTCTCTCTCACTGATGGCATCCATGCTGTTCAGGCTGATGCATGCAAAGTCCAGTTCTGTAAGGGAAGTGATGGACAAAAGAGATCATGTTTAGCCTAACTTGAAGTCTGCACCTTGCCCCAGCAGGTGTCTGTGAGCCCTTTAGTAGTCCAAGGAACACAAATAAGGTGTGTTGAGGTGTTGTTATTTGTCCCAGGTGGCCAGTGTGTAGCAGAAGTTGTTCAATTTAATTTATTATTTCACCGTACAGGCATGTGCTTTCTTAATTTGGTAAAAAGTCTTAGTCCTTACCAATTCCTTGGGAGCTGCTTGCAACCTGTGTCCCTGGTCATCAGAAATTATTCTGTTTTTATATTTATTACCCTCCCTCCCCATGTTGAGGTGCTGCAGTGTATCTCAAAATAGCATTATGACAGTGTGTCAGTGTTTCTCTAGTTCCCAGATATTATAATCAAACCTGTGCTGCTCAGTCAGGGAGACATTTACCACTACGCAGAAGCTCTCTATCAATTTCCAGTGGGTTGCCAGCCAGAGCACCGCTGCCAGGGAAAAAGGAAACGGAAGTCATGCATGATATCTTGCACAGTCCAACAAAAACTGATCTCTAGCAATGAGGGATGACACTTCTCTCTTCAAAAGAATCTGGCGTCAAACTGCTCCCTGAAGCATGGTCTGAGGCCCAGCAAACTGAACTCTAGACTAAACCAGAAGTTCTCTTCCAAAGAAAAAGATTTGCATGATGAAAGCCTTGTACTTCTTGATTTCAAAGAGAAGGGGAGAAGAGCATGTTTGGTGAGTATGTCAGTCATAGCACTTTTCTTTGGTGCATGAAGCAAGGCTTGATATCTTGAAACTCTGCAGTGTGTGTAGCATACAAACACCACTGGTTCAGAGGATGTAAAGGTCTGTCTCTTGGTCATTTAATAGAGCAAAGTGATGCCCACAAAGGGATTACACAGAAAGTACACACTACCTTCCCAGAGGCAAGACATTCATCCTTTTCTTCACCTCACCCAGGCGCTCAGAATCACGAATCAGTGCAACAGCGTGGCTAGGAGGGGACATGATAGAGAAAGCAGATGAAGCTGAGAAACCTTGCATGAGCCAAGAGGAAATGGCCATAATGGCCATAGGGTGGGGCATGCTGAGAGGTGGTCTCCACGCAGTCAGTGTTTAGGTTCTTGGTTGTTAAGAGACAAGTAGCACTGGACTGAGATGTACTTGTGGCAGCTTTCAGGGTTAGCTCTGCTGTGTCTCCCCCCGCTGCCCCATCAGAGAACGATGCACTTCTAGGCTCCATCTGTGCAGGGCTCCAAGAATGGAGAAAGCTTCCCTTCCCAGAGTCCAGTGTGAAAGGTGGTTACCTGAGCAGGAACTGGCTCCATCTGATGGGCAGAGCTTTCTGCAGGTGGGTGTAGCCAGGCATGATAACATCAATTTCTCTGCATATGGAAAGAGAGGAAGGGGTGAGCAGCAACTGTTTGCATAGAGAGCAGTGGCAGGTAAACTCTCAGGTTTCGTGGCAAGGTCATGAGAACATATTTAGCCTTTGTTGTGCTATGCCTTCCTCTTCTTCTTATCTCCATAATACATTAGGGGAAGAGGAATGTCTCCCTGAAGGAGGCTGTGAAGAAAGAGGGCCCATTGTCTTTCCCTGGGCTATCACATATTGTCTCACTTTGACATCCTCTGCAGAAGACCTTGCTGCTGCCCTGATTGGTATCAGTCAAAGAGCAAGCCTAGAAGTGTCCTGTCCCAGAAGCATTGAGACCATGGACTTGGGAAAGGACTTACATAGCAGCGCGCTCCACCAGGGTCTTAATGAGCTGCAGCAGGTGAGTGGAGATGACAGAGATGGAACTCTTCAGGAGCAGCTTCAGGTCAGTCACAACCTGAACAAGATTGGCCACAATGAGATAAAGGAGAATGTGATGTGCTTAGTGCCAAATACAGTTCAGCTGAAAGGCAAGGCAGGGCTACCAACTCTTCATTCTATGTGGTGTGAAGGGACATTTTAGCAGATATGCCCCATGTCTGATTCATGACAGTTGTTGTATATTGCTTCCCAAAGCTCATTCTTTTCAGTGGACTTCTCAGGTATAGGCAGCTAGGGATGGAATATCCTCCACTATTCTCCAAATATTCCCCCACAATATTCCCCAAAGTGTGTCATTAGCAAAAGGCAAATCCCAAAAGATGCATGGTACCCAGACAGTAAAGTAATGGATTCTGTGGGCTTTCCAAGGGCAGCAATCCTGCAGAAACCACTTCCCTGTGATGATTAATAACTACAGCATCACTAGCTTAAAGCCATAGGGAGCACATGCTGGAGAGTGTCATTGCATGCAAGAGATGACAGAAAGAAGCTTGGTAAGGACCTGAGGTGTGAGAGTAATATAGGAGGAGAAGAACAAGTAGTTCTATACATACCTGATCATTCCTGCTTCTTCCAGTGTGCAGCTTTCCAGCTATATCCCCAATCAGCTCCTGAGGACAAGAGAATAACTTCTGTCAGTGTCTCCATATTCTAAGCAAAAGAATTCCTTCAAGAGCAGACCTCCTCCTAGCTCTAGGATCCTGTAAGTAGCTATGAGTTCTCCTCTGGGGAAGTAGAAGTTTGGATTCTAGGCTTGTGTAGCATCTCTTTCACAAAAATGGTATTGGATACTGTTGGCTGTGCACCTAATATCTCAATATCACAGGGCGTTGAGGAATTTCACTGTGTTGGGGACAGAGGCACATGTGCTTAATGTCAGGCAGCACTAGCTAGAGAGGGAGAGGAACAACAGGTTAGAGGACCCAAACCTTCAGTCTGCGTTCGTTGGCAGTATGAATATCCTCATCACTTTGTTTCACCACAAAGACTCCTTTAGACCATTCCTCAGAGATCTATAAATGTTAACAGAAACACAAGTCAGCTCATACTGTTTCCCTGAGCGGGGGACTTGTAAGTTGTCCCCAGGAAATACCAACTTCTGCCACCCAATTGGAAATGAAAGCATTCTCACAGGAGCTCCAGCATTCCTGTTCTTTCAGGCCAAGGCTGGCTGCTTGCTCTATCCCTATATTCTCTATTGATCTTGGTGGAGAGTCATCTTTTGATCCTTGCTGCTCCTGCAATCCTGGCTATAGCAGGACTTAAGCATCACAGTGAGAAAGTGAGCTGAAGTGGCAGTCATTGCTTTAGCATTGTCCATAAAGACTTTCCTATACAAACATTGTATAGACTGCCCATTGTCCATGGTAGGTGAGCAACAATGAATATTTCAAAAAAAGTGCCTAGTGGCTGACTCTTCTTCACCCCTATACAATACTGTGCATTGCCTTCTACTAGCTCAGGCAGCCAGACACAAAGGGATCCCAAGTGCCATTGGAAAAAGAATATTCCTAATTCATACTGAAACAATTCCTCAGGAATGTTCAGTGTGATGAGGATGGGAGGGCAGGTCATGCTGAGCACACCTCACCAAGTCACCAGGTTTCCATAGTGAACATTCACAATGCACTCACTGGGGCTTCAGGTTCCCCTTTCTGGCTTGTCAACTGGTTCATATCCTACTGCCTGGCTTTGGTACCTTTAGCTAGATGGAATCTGTCAATCAGTCTGCTGTCCAGGTCTGCTAGAGTATTAAGAGTACAGAGTACAAAATGTACGGGCCTCTCCAGTTCTCCCTGGTTCAGGACTGCACTCCCTTTTGGGAAAGCACTTTTACACGTAATTAGAACTAAGGAATAGGACATGAGGAGAGAGAAAGATGCTTTTTAGTGCATCAGCTCAGGGATGTTTTCAGATAAGGAGCTATTCATCATAGTAGTAATGTAGGGATTGTATGTAGGCCTGAGCATGCATTACAGTTTATGGAGGAAATAAATACCTTTTCCAGGCCACTCAGGATCTTCTCCAGCTCTGTTTTAGTTAGGATGCCAGCCTTCTCCAAGGCTTTGGCATAAGCCATGCTTCCCTGGATATCAACTTCAGACATTCTCTGATCACAGGCAATGGAAGAGTTGAGCATCTCCATGATGGGATCTGTGCTTCCGCTGAATCTTCCCCCCCAAAGTTTATCTCCCTGAGAGAGAGGAAGAGGCAAATCAAAGAGGCCTAATAACTTCGTTTATAGTTTTAAGAACTATGTAATTTCCACTGAGAACTTTATGCAATATAGAGGCCAAGCTCAGGTATGTTCCTTCAGTGCAGTCCTTTGTTGTTGTTGTTGTCTAATAGAGACAGATTTTTCTTTGACAAATAGCTATGAACCAGCATAAGCCACATATCAAGTGACTGAAGTTACTGTTTAGGCAACTCCAGAGTCCAGGATGTGCTTGTAAGCTTTGCCATAAAATTAGCATCAAATCAGCTAAGGTGCAGACTCTAGAACTCTGGGTACCTTTCAGCATCGGGAATGTCCAGAAAAATAAGTCTAAACACAAAGAAGATTATAAAATATGTAAGAAGAAAACTTGTTTTTCTACTCAAACCAGACTGATTTTCTAATCTCACACCCTTGAACATGTAATCTACCTAATTACTTCACTATGTGACATAAGACAGGTACCTAATTCCTGCCACACATCATGACACTATGCGTGTAAACCCTTTGCATCAGTGATTTAGCAACTGAATGGATTCATTAAGAGCCATACATGACACTTGGTCAGATCTTTGCTTATCTGGGTAGGATGCCTCCTGAAGCCCTAGCTCTGGCAAACTTGAATGGAAATTTGAATAGTTTGCTCTGGCAAACTTGAATAGGAATGTTACTTGTGCACAAAGCTTGCAACTAATCCAAGATTTCAAAAGCATCTCTCTAGTACCAGGAGGCACAAAGAATAAATTGGAGAACATTTAAAGGAAGGGTCTAAATATATTTGCCATTGCAGATTGCAAAATAATCATTAATCTGTATGATTTTTAAGTACCCCTGTCCTGTCAGTCTTTTCTCATACCGTACATTGTAACTACCATGGACAGCAAACAGTTGGCCAACACATCTGCAAACTAATCTGTGCTGGGGTTTTATCAGTCAGACAAAATACTGTTGAGTAACCCTGGAAACTTTTTTCCCTAGTGACTATCTCCACATCTCTGCCAATGTCTGCTGAAACAACGCGTCTGAGGGGACAGCAAGAGAAAGCCTATAGAGGTAAGTGTTGCACGTAGTTCTTTTCACATCTTTACAGCAGCTCTGTCAGCCAGCTGAAGAGAGGTAAAAAGAAAAATCAGAATCTGAAAGGAAAAGTTAGAGGTCCTCAGTGGATCCAGTGCCCATGGAACTATGGCATAGGGATGTAAAAATCAAAAGCCAGTACCAGATGCTAAGTGCTTGGATGAGGAACTGCTCCGTCTTAGGCATATCTTCTGTGCTATGGGGCTCCACAGAAGTAAGACGTGGTTCAGCAGAAACTGCTACAGATACATTTGCAGTCAGGAAAGCAAAACAGAAGGATTAACTTTAGCTAGCTACTGAACTCTGGTCAGGCTAGCACAGTCAGACAGCTGATGGACACAGTCGTCTGTAACCAGCAGCTGAGGAAGCCAAGGCTGCAGTAGCCACTCTGAAAGCAGAAGGCATGAGTTGCTAAGACAATTAGTCACTAGGCACAGAAACTGAAAATGAAGCTTTTGTATACAGAAGTAGTTACACAAGCTTTTGTAAAGTATCTGCCTAAGCACAAGCTGGCCTGAGTGAAGTGCACCAGTGCATTAAATTAGTCTCCCCAAGGTAAGGGGAGGAACCTGAAGGAAACAGCAGGCTGCAGAGACTTAGACTGTAACAGAGTTGAGCTTGCATTTGCCAGAGCACTGGTAGGAAAAGCAGTTTGCCCTCACCTCAGATGCCATTTCAGACGTTTGCTCGTGTGCACAGCACTCCCAGTGCAACCTGTGGAACAGAACGGAACAAAACAGCTCAGCTCTGGCCCTTCCCTGGCACCTCAACCCAGCAGTAAGGCCCCACCGAGCCCCCCAGCCCCACTCACCGTCTCAGCAGCTCAGCCCAGCTAGTCGTTCCGTGCTACACGCCCCTCTTCCTTGCTTTTACACGCCTCGGAGCCTTGCTGGCAGCTCGTCCCGCCCCGGCAGGGCGGGGTGTCCCTTCGACCGGCCCCACTCCACTTCCCCCTCCCTTGTAGGACCCCGCAGAACTGGCTCGTTTCTGCTTGGCATTTGGAAGTGTGCTGCTACCACATATTTTTTCTATCTGTACAATGCCAGAAGTATTTGAGAGAGTACACGAAGTGCAACCTAATTTTCTTGTCCCTTTCGGGTTTTTCTTGCCTTTCATCATCCCTGTTGTCACAAGACTGTAGGGTGATTTAGGTAGGAAGAGATGTAATCTAGCCATCTTTTCTGTCATTCCTCACTCCTTCTACTCATCCTCTCCTTTCTGAGTTGAAGATGAAGCCTGAGGCCCAGTGGGATTGTATGATTAGGGTATGTTGGTTTCTGTAGCAAAGCGGCTCAGGCAATGACACAGTTTAGCATCAGACTTGTCTGCCTCTGGCTACCCAGCCTGAATGAGCAGATATATTTTGTCGCTGGGTTTCCAGAGCACTGCCTTCAGTATCAGCCCAGAACAAAGTTCACATTCTGTCTGGATTTATAACCAACTCTGAATTTGTTGCTTCTCAAACATTTCCGCTTGTGATCTTTTATTTTTTTTTTTCCTGGTGCGATGATTTTTCCCTCTAAGACTAGCAGGCCTGCAGACACACACAGCATCACACTGTCTGCACTGGAAAAAGCTGTTTGAAAGTTTTTCACCAGTTTCCTTCCTCTTCTGAAGCCCTCCATACTTGATGCTACTCTTGTCTTGATGGTCTTTCTTGAGTGTCTTTGTCCTTATTCTGGGTTTTGACTGAAGGTTGTTGGAAAGCTGTCAAAACAGTAAGCACCATCTTTGCATCTAGAATGGATTATATACGATTATATACAGGGAGAGGCTTTAATTTACCTCCTGGTGTTTGTGATACAGGTTCCATATTGGTTATATGGAACATGCATAACATATACAAAGAATGTACCTCTATGCTTAACCTCTCACTGCAGAGAAGTTGCTCGAAGTCCACAAGGGTTGGAGGAGGATGCTCAACACACTGCAGTCAGGAGGGTTAGAGGGCACGCAGCTGCTCCTGACACCCACAGGGCTAGAGAAAGGAAAATGGGATCTCTATGGCATTTCCTGAGTTTCCCTGTGTCTACAATTTGAGTTTTTATACCATTAAGCATCCTATATATGTATGATATACATTGTTTGTGTAATTTGGTTTCTAAATATTACCTGTATTTAAACAGTGGCGTGGTTAAATATAACAGTGAAAGTTCCAATTTCTGTTCTACTTCTAGGCCTCTATGTAATTTTTTCCACTTCTTTGTACTTTTGTACACTTATTCTGGAACATGAGGCATAGAAATGACTGAGGAATCACAATGAAGTTTGGTTTGTGTTGCTGCTGGTGAAGGTTAGATGGATACATTTGGGTATTGCTGTCTCATATTCATCCCTGGTGCCTGCAGGGGACGTTGCTGTTATACAAATCCATCTGGTCTCACTACTCTTTTGTGACAGTGGAGAAGTGTTAGCAGCTCTGCTTTTCTAATTGAGAACTAGAGGGCAGAATGACCATGCATAGTAATGTGTTTAGGAGACAAAATATTCAGTGGGACTTTTCCAGAGCATGAAAGCAGGCTAGAGATATTTTCCTTGAGGAGACTAAGAGAATATTTCTTTACTTTGTGTAATGTTTAAGAGCCTCTGTATAGGCTTTTTATCTGGTTGGATGTCAGATCAGAATTACTGAACCATCTGCTGAGTCTTTTAGTAGTTTATTAAAAGACTACATATCAGAATGCCTATCTAAATTGATAGCTATTGAATTCTTGGCTTAAATGACTTCCTGTTGTCTGTGACAGAGCAGGGATTTAAGTCCAAGTCCCCCCCAACTACTGTCCAAGGCACTGATCCTTATGTTTGTGCAGAACTTCTGAGGATGAGAGGCAGGGCTTTAAGCACTCAGATCACAATGTGTCATAATAGAGTGACAGTGGAAGTGTGAAGGTGTTCTGGGTCAGTTTCCTGTAATGTCTGTGGAGCTTCAGAGACCTTCAGAGTCTCCTCCCCATCAATGTTATTCCATAATTTTAAGAAAACGGTGGATTGGTGGGAAGTAGCAATGATTATGAACTACTCATCTACGTAGGAGACTGTGATGTGACAATCTGCTAAAATCTCTGCTTTGCTTTCAATTTGGCAGGGCCCCATGTCATTTGGTACCAGCTATAAGGAGTAATGCTAGGCACTTGCTGCTAGGAGCAAGAGGAAATCTGTTTGGCTGAGACCTCTTAAGGTACTGAGCAGGGCTAGGAGATACAAACAAAGAAAAAGAGGGGAGTAGCACAAATTGAGAAAGATTATGGGAGAGAAGGAAAGAAATATGAGAAAGAAATGGAGAGAGATCTTTTGCTCTGGCTTTGTTAGTGTTGGGTATTGGTGTCACCTCTCCTTCTATTGCACCTTTCCCCTCAGTTAAGTAAGCAGAAGTGATTTCCCTTCCACAGCTAACCTATCTAGAGACTCAGGCACAAGCTCTGTTTCTGTTTTGGAACATAAAGTAACAGAGCAAATACAAAGGTGGTTTATGGAGCAGTAATTTAAATGTGGTGTTCTTTACATGGCAGCAGAATAAATCATGTTTAAGGCTAAAAGTAAGGGGAGAGTGAGGGTGATATGAAGCGTTGAAGAAAGGGAAGTTTGTATTGCTGGTGCTTCTATGTATTTCAAGAACTAATGCTGTAAAGGTAGATTGAAAGCACTTATTGTCTTCTGTAGTACATCATTAATGGCAGGAGGTTTAGTTCACAGTACTTTGCACTGTCTGTGCTACAGTCCTTAACCAAAACATGGTGAGGCAATGCTTGTGTTCCTGCCTTTACCTACGTGTGTTGCAGAGCCTTGCAGTACTCTGAGTCAGTAATGTGTTGCTGTATCAGCGTGGAGGGCAGGGTGCTGAGCAAACCACCAGCTTTAAAATGTTTTGACAAAAGAGAAATTTTCCATGACAGTTAGCACTATTGTACTGTCAGTACCAAGTTAGTGTTTAATGAAATCTCCCGTCTTCTCTATAGAAACAGTTTTTCCTTTGCCTTTCATTGAAGTCATTCCATGCAGTCATTCCATGCAGAAATCACTGCAGAACACTAATGCAGGGGAATGTTACAAATGCTTATTGAATCAAATATTTTCCCCATAAAAAAAGACACCAAAGTGGTGCACTTGCATTCCTAATATAATGCTTTTTCTTGCCTGTGTTCTGATTTTACATTTGCAAGGGCAGAAGGGAAGATGGTAGATTATTACTAAGGGTTAGCCAGCAATGCCAGCTTATTTTCAAGTACTCTGCCCCCAGCTAGCTTGTACTGGGTCACACAGAAAAAAGAGCTTTCCTGGAAACAATGCAACTCCTGTTTTTTGGAGTAAACCAGAGCAGAAGGTGGTTTAATGATGAATGAGGAGGAGCTGTGGATTGTCCTGCTGACCACGTTCTGCTTAAGACTAAGCATGTTCCACTGCCAGCTGATGAGGAAATTTTTCCCTGCCAGAAGGCAGACAGCCTGACTGGCTGGGAAAGATAGTCCTAGCTGGAATTCAATGAGGGCTGGACATGTGGCATGTGTTACAGATATAGTACCATGTGTCTTTCCCTACGCACACCCCGATCTTTCCTCAGCATGTTGTATAGCTTGCTGTGGCACAGCTGTGTCCAGCCTTGTGCTGTGTCCAACTGCTCCCATCATTTGCAGGTCTCCTGATGTAGACACACCCTCCTGTTGCCCTCCTTGCCCAGTAGAGTTTCTCCCCTCATACCAGTTCCTTTGCCAGGAAGGAGAGAGTTCATTCACACCAGTGACCAGCCCCAGAAGGGCTGAGGAAGCCCAATTTTGTCCCTTGAAAGCAATACGCAACACAGAAGTTTCAGTGAACTACAATACACCACAGTGTTTATTAACTCTGGATTAGTGTGATAAGCACAACGCTGCAGCCACGGGATATGTCCCCACACTCTAAGCTTGCTCCTTCTGCTTCTTCAGCAGCTCCCTCAGCTGCTCGATCTGGGCAGTCACGCTGCTCTTGGCAGTACCACCCACAGCAGTGTACTGCTCCACGCTGTTGACAACGCTGAAGACCTGGGAGACATCACTGGCAAACAGAGGGCTGGGGAGGCAAAGAGAAGAGGTGTCAGTGGGGAATGATGGGCACTGCTTGATGGCTTTATACTGCCTGTGGAGAAAATAAGGAAGTAGAGGCTGAGCCTTTTCCAAGGGGAAAAGCATCATGAAGCTCTGCTTCTGCACTTCTAGTGCCTGTCAGGAGCGGTCCCTGACATACCAAAGACACAGCTGCAAGGGCAGAGGGAGGAAGGAAGTCTGAAGCCAAACTCCTCTACAGCGCCTGTGCCTCCAGGTCAAGGCATGAATTTCTCCATTTCCTCCCAGTACCTGTGGCCCATGCCCTGCATAAATTCAGTGCTAGTGATATTGTGCCCCTTCAGCTGATACAAGCTTGGCAGTAACAGCGATGGTATATATATAGACCAGGAAGAATTTTGCAGTTCTGTCAAGCCCAGGGTATGTGCAGAAGGGGACCATAAGAAAGCCAGGCTGACACCTGTCTTTTGAGGGTATCTATGGTAATGTGGTACAAACCTGATGCTCTTCAGGTCCTCCAGGGTGAGATTATTGATGGTGATGCCTTTAGTCTCAGCAAGGTGGACGGCCTTCCCAGAAGCAGTTTGGGCTTGTCTGATGGGCATCTGCAATGAGAAGCAAAGAGCACAATCAAGTAACCAGGCAAATGAAGTGCAGTCTTGGGCAAGAGTAGATGTGCTCTCATTTTGGTTGGTTTGATTTTAATTAGAGAAATGAAATCCGAATCCTTGTTTTCTGGGGTGTGAAGAGGGGAGGCATTAGGACGTAAAATTCCACCTGTAAATTACTATCAAGTCCACCCGGCAGCAGTTCCACTACTTGGGATACATGTAAAGAATGTGTTTCCAGCTCTCGTGTTTGTTGACCCACACTGACCATCACCTGGGGACAGAACAGAAGGCCTCATCTCAGGCCCTCACTGAGCAGTATTCTGAATCTAAAGAAGTCAGAGCTCCAAGCCTTCCTCTGATACTTACTCCTTTACGAACCAAGTAGAGAGCCAGATCAGTAGACAGCAACTCAGGGGTCAGAGCCTTCTCCATGTTCTCCTTGTTGATCTGCAGAGAGAGATATTACTGTCAGCTGCTCTCTGGGGACACATTTAGAGGTCTCGAAGAACGGACTTCATCAAGGAGGGACCAGGCTCTCCAATGACTTTCTGCCCAAGTGTATCTGAGCTGCCTGTGGTGGGGCACTACCAAGCAGTAAGAGTGAGCAAGTCTTCATGTTAGGAGCAGACTAGAGCTCTTGTATCTGTATTACACTTAAAATGTGACCTCCAACCACATTCAATATGAGAATGAGATATTGAATGAATATCTCATTCAATAATGAGAAGCTGAAGCCTTACCTGGAGGGTAGAAATCACTCCAGTGGCAACTTGGAGCACAGCAGTCAGAGTGTCCACAACATCAAGGACAGCTTCCTTATCCTCCTGTGTGAGAGCATGGATGGAAATTACTATTAGATGAACTGACGCAGCCTCAGTTTTATCATCTTGCACACCAGCTGTACTTGTGCAAGAAATATAGTGCAAGAGACTTCTCTACAGCAGGAGACAACACTTGACACAAAGAACTGGAGTGGAAGCTAACATCTGCTTTACCTGCAGATCCTTGCTGAAGGTGCTTGGAATTCCTTTCAGAACCATGAGAATAGCAGCCAACTGCAGAGAGAAACAGGTATGGCAGTTAGTTACAGGAAGACAAGCACATTGCCCCAGCAGAGATTCACAGCCTATGCCCAGCATAATTTCAATTTTTATACAGAAGCATGAAGAAGGAAGCTTCTTCAGCCCCAATATGAGCAGTTTCCCTGCCCCTCTTCTTTCTTTAACAGGCTCACCCGTCCAAACACACGACCAGCTTTGCTGCGGATCAGTTCCAGGCTATCAGGGTTCTTCTTCTGAGGCAACAGGCTGCTGCCAGTGCTGGAAGAAAAATGTTGGGAGTATAATGGTGAGCAAGACCCCAGTCTGTGCAGATGCAGACTAAGACATGCAGCACGCTGGCCCAGCCCTGCAAAAGTGATTTGTAGCCCCCCTTGTCTGGACACCTGTCTCAGTATAGGAAAGCAGTGAAGT